ATATACATGTATATATAAATATATATATATATATATATGTGTGTGTGTGTGTATGTGTGTATGACTGTTTATAATATATATATATATGTGTGTGTGTGTGTGTGTGTGTGTGTGTGTGTGTGTGTATGTATACATTGTATACATACATGTATGTATGTATGTATTTATGTATGTATGTATGTATGTATGTAGGTATGTAAATATGTATGTATGTATGTATGTATGTATGTATGTATGTATGTATGTATGTATGAATGTGTGTGTGTGTGTGTGTATGTGTGTGTGTGTATGTATGTATGTATGTATGTATGTATGTATGTATGTATATATATATATATATATATATATATATATCAATTGCGTGTCTACATACATTGGTGCGCCTTTTCCCATCATGGAATTGATAATATATAGTCTTACTTCTTGCACAAGCATATTATATTGTATATATGGAACAGTGAGAGCATCGTTCAAAGATATATTCTATTCACTGATATATTTTTGTTCGAAATGCTCATAATATATCACATACAATTCTACTTACAGAACTCAAGTGTGTTATTCTGCCTTTTTTTTCCCGTATATTTTCATTGACAATCACCGGGAGTTGGTCTATAGCGGAACTCAAGTGCTGAATGCTCTAAGAACCATTCATATAAACAAGTCAATTCATACCGAAAATTGCACTCACCCCAAATCTTCGATTCCGCAGACCTAAATGAAATTATCTCACGTTCTGAACCAAATTTACTTCAATCGAGGCTATTTCAGATCCACTCAAATGCTAATTATGCATTCACTCAAATATTATGCCGTATCCACCCATATCTCTATGTTCTTCCCTTAGACGCCTGTCGCGTCATGGGCAACTGTACTCCAGGGACCCTCCGGTGGATCCACTTTAAATGCCAATGCGACCAGTTCCAACCCAAAGCCAAACGAAACAGCCACAGCCGTCACGGCGGCTGCGCGAGCAGGAGAGGGTGTCTCCACAGCAAATCTGGATGATTTAGGGTCAGTTGAGTGTATATATATATATATATATATGTACACACACACACATATGTATATATGTGCACATATATGTATATATATGTGTGTATGTGTGTATACATGGGTGTGTTTGTGTGTACACACTCATATTTATATATATGTATAATATATGTATATATTTGAATCTATGTATATATATGTGTGTGTGTGTTTGTGCGGGTGTGTGTGTGCGTGTGTGTGTGTATACATATACGTGTTGCGAATTCCACGGTAGCTTTTCTAGGATGTTGAGTGTTTCGTAAGGTTGCTGTTGTTGTTGTGTTGTTGTTGTCACCTATCTACTATCTTGAATATTATTAGCATGTGTATTCTTTCTAAAAGATCGTGTGGAATTTATTCGCATAAGTGTTTTAAGATGTAAGCTTTGTAGGATCATCCAATGTGAATCTTAGACTCGCGTTGTATCTGGGGCTGACATTAGCACAGCCTCAGTCTCAGTCGCTTCCGGTACGAGTGCCTTGAATAAAACCAGCACAGTTACGTGTCCGCATATTTGTAGTCACTCACGAAGATACATTATACCAATTACAAACACATCAAAATCACGATATACATTAACACGCCTATATATATATATATTTATGCATATATATATATACATCGCAGATCCATGGCAAACCTAACTGCATCTACCGCCTCGATGGCCGGGGCTAATGATGGCACAGCCGCAGCCTCAGTTGCTGCTGGCAAGGGTGCTGAGAAAGGCACCAACACACTACTAAACCAGTTGGTACTGGCGTACATGAGTCACAATGGGTTCAGCAAAACTGCAGAGACCTTTGCAAAACAGACGGGCTCGGCACTGAGAGAAAGCATAGAGTCCATCGTTGCTAGGCAACGTATGTGGTGTGGGTGCAGGTCGAGTGTGGTTTGTGAATGATTCACCTGTACATCTGCTGTATACTAGTGACGTGCTTTATATATATATATGTATGTATGTATGTATGTATATATATATATATATATATATATATAAATATATATATATATATATATATATATATGTATGTATGTATGTATATATATATATATATGTGTGTGTGTGTGTGTGTGTAACGTGAGTGATGCATGTATATGTATATA